CAAAATGCCCTGGCTTGTCCCATGAGGAAAGTGCCCAGGCCAGGACACGTGGACGCGGCGCCTGCGCCTCTGTACCACTCCGCCTGCCCCGTGCGGACCATCCGGGCCTGCAGTTCTTGTCCTCTCCCTGTCTTGTGCTGATCTGTTCATTTCCCCCTTTTGGTCTGTTGGTAGGAGATGAGGGAAGCAGGTCCCAGGAGTGGTGGGATCCAAGGGGAGCTTTGTCTCTGCCTCTGATTGTGTCCTGGGGACCGTGCTTAGGTGTTAAGGGGTGGCGTGGTCCTGGGGGTGACAACTTTTGGCTTTCCTGGTCAGGGAAGGAGAAGTACCTGAAGTTGCACCACCCAGTGTGATTAGAGGGAGGCGGGTGCTTAACCTATGTGTTTTGCCACTGGCGGGAAGGGGAGCCAGCCCAGGGACACAGGGTAGGGAGCCAAGAGAGTATCGGTTAGGTGTGTATGCGTGTATATGGGGGTGTTGCCTAAAGAGGTCTTTGACAAACTGGGTGGTGTGGAACCCAGGACACGGAACCTTCCAGCCCAAGTCCCAGGCAGCCTGTGCAGAGTTCTTAGGATAAGTGCCCAGCGTGTTGTGTTTCCAGGTCCTGTGGAGTACTCCCTGATGCTCCAGACCCTCCCTCTGGGGTGCCCATGTCCCACGGAGGGACAGGTATTTAGACAGTATATCTTTATGAGTATGTAAAACAATAAAATAAGGCAGGGGCTGGCAACATGCCTCAATTGTTGCCTGATGACCTGAGTTCAATTCCTGGAATCCATGTAAAAAAAAAAGCAGAAGACAGCCAGCTCTACAGAGTTACGCTCTGACCTCCAAACACACACTGTGGCACACATATACCTGTACTCACACACATCATACACACATGTACCTGTACTCACACACATCATACACACATGTACCTGTACTCACAGACCTCATATACACATGTACATCACACTATGGCACACATGTACCTGTACTCACACACCTCATATACACATGTACATCACACTATGGCACACATGTACCTGTACTCACACACATCATATGCACATATGCATGCTCACACAATAATAATAAAGTTCTAAAATTAAAAAAAATAAAAAAAAAAAAAATAAATAAAGCGGCTCAGAAGAGAAGATGAGGTTTTCCTGTCCATCTTATTCCTGACTTTCACACTGCTCGTCACCACGTGTGTTTCAGATGGTGTCTGTATGTTACCTGGAAGACTTTTTGGTTGTGGTAACAAGATTGTGTTCATATGTTCTACCTTATATCACGAGAGTCTCCATGCAGCCCCTGTGACCACAGGGCAAGAGGGTAGCCCAGATGTGTGTGGATGCTGTAGGGAGGGTGCCTTGAGTTGGTGGGATGGTGCCATACAGTAGTGTCACTGGATGTCAAGAGCTTGGGGACTCTGCTGAAGAGAAGAAGTCGGGTGTGACAAGGTAGGTCCATATCACCCTGTGGGCATGCAGAAGTGTGGCTGACCTGGCCACATGAGTAGGTCCTTGAGATGCTTGCTGGGGTGGCTTAGTCTCTGGTAGACACTCAGTTTTGTAAGAACATTCCATAGAACCTTTGCTGAGATCAGAAGTTCTTGAACTGAGTACCACAGAAGATCAATGGATGATTGACAAGCCAGGGGCCTTCTCTCCAGCTTATGGATCATGCCCTGGCTGGCTGGTGCACTGGGGTGTAGAAAGGCTGTCCTCTCTCGGGGCCTGGAGTGTATGAAACAGTAGGATCCTGAGACAGGGTCTCGCGGTCAGCGTGTTGGTGTTCTGTTTCCCCGGTGTGTCACGCTTGCCCCTTGGTGTGTGTTCCTGTCTTTGACATGGGAAACCCTGTTCTTGTCACCCAAGGGAACTGTGTGACTTTGCTGCCTACAAGGACATTTGTGTTTTTAGTTTTGCTGAGGGTCAATGAGGAGACTCAGCCTGGTGGAATGTAAATGACAAGGGTGAACCTCCTTGAGCTTCATTAGGACAATGTGAAATGGACGGACAGACACATAGATAGATCATAGCCAGCGGTGGATACAAGTTTGAAAACTTTGAAGGACCTGGTTGACATGGAACAAGGGAGTATCTAACTGAGCATGCCACGCTGGCTAGTTGTAGCAGGCCTTTTTGTTCGCAAGCCCCCAAATCATGACATTGAGACTTATTAGTTATGAAAGCTCGGCCTTGGCTTAGGCTTGTTTCTAACTAGCTCTTATAACTTAAATTAACCTACTTCTATTTATTTACGTACTGTCACATGGCTCATGGCTTTTTACCTCTCTTCCTGCATGTCCTGCTTCCTCTGCATCCGGCTGGTAACTTCACCTTTCTTCTTCCCAGAGCTCTCTGTCCAGAAGTCCCACCTATACCTTCTGCCTAGCTATTGGCTGTTTAGCTTTTTATGAAACCAGTCACAGTGACACATCTTCACACAGTGTAAAGGGATATTCTACATTTCCTCCTTTTTGTCTAAATAAAAAAAAGAAAAGTTTTAACTGTAACACTGTAAAACTATATACAATAAGAACAATTTTCGGTAAGAATTACATTTACAATGTCTAGTTCATTTGCATTTGGGAAATTTAGAAAAAATACTCCGTTATCTATCCTAACTTAACCCAAAGTTTTGTCCCCAAACCATTTCTTGTCACAACTTGTATTACCATCCTAAAAAGATCTTTTTATACCTTAAAACATCTTTTTAGATAAATAACTTAAACTTTTATGTTTCTCAGCCTTATAAACTTTACATCTCTTTTGTAAGTTTCTTCAACTTGTAAAACTATAGAAATGACAGAGACATTTGGCTGCCTGGACAGTCACCTAAGGTTCCTCTGCAATGTTGGGGCATCCATCTTCGGCCTGTAGGCCTAGAATGTCTGACAAACTTTTCTGTGAACCAGGAATTTTTTGAAGGACTGTCCTACAAGAACTTTGTCTTGGCAAAGTTCATCAGTTGCTTTCTTTTGTATCCTGCTTGTTCAATTTGGACAGCATACTGTTAGCAGTCAATGCAAGGACAGTTTCTTGCCCAAATGGCTAGCTTTCACCACAAAGAAAGCAAACTCCATATGGAGGTTCTTCAGTGCCCATCATCATTTTTTGAAGTAAATTGGTGCTGCCAGGAGCAGATGTGTCTCACTGTCATGAAAGCCTTATGTTATTAAAACATTTTAAATGCCGTATTCCGTAGGTCTTTGAAGTGTTTGAAGATCACCTATCTATCTAAAATGTATCTCTGTATAATCTTGAAAACATACCTAACATGACTATAAGTTTGATGTTATAAAAAACTATTAACCTGCCTTTTTTCTGTTATCCTAAATAGCTTTCAAGGACTAAAGCTTCACATTTTTAATGAGCTGCATAGGTACAATACCTTAAACAAGAATAGAAATATATATATATATATATATATATATATATATATAATATAACTAAAATAACCTTAAATTTGTATCAGTATACACAAATCCATATCAATGTAAAATATTTGAGACTAGTGGTTATTTAAAAGTATGCTCCAACAATCCACCCTTTTATCCCATCATTTCTATACTGTATCCCTCTTTTGTCCCTTCAGAAAGAGATCCCTGAATCTAATCTCCTTTGTTCAGCTTTTTTCCTGACCATGACCAATAACAACCACTCTAAATCCATAACTCATCAAATTACCAAAAACCATCTATCCCTCCTCTTGGGAATATGGGCGTTGTGTTCTCTAGACTGCTTCCTGTTGTCTGGGGGTGATGGCATCCTTGGGGGTCCCTGAGAAAACTGAGATAATGGTAACATACATATCTGCATTAACACAAGTATGGACTGTGTGTTATACACAAGCTAGCCAAAGATGATTTTTGTTTTATGTTTGAGCAGGTAAAATATACATCACCTGTCTTGTAATTCTTCTAGGTTTATTTCTTTTGTCTGTACTCAGGATTTTCTCCCCCCAATCAAACTGACTCTCTTTAACCTTGAGCAGATTCACAGTCTTTTGTTTTTTATGTAAACAAAAGCATAAACTCTTCCCCAAAGAAATACATTTTCTGACTTCTATATTAAAGCTAAGGCATTCCTAAAGTGCCTGGGCTGGTTTAATTCAGCAGTCCCTTCTACAATCCAGTGCCTCTCAGCCGCTGTCGTTCTCTGTTCATTGGCATTCAAAACATTCAACATTAGCAAAGCACCATAGAAGGTCCAAACTCCCTATGTTATAATATTTCCATCCTTATGTGGCCTATTTTTTATATTACTTTATTCTTTTTAAAGACTTTATTATTTTTAAACTATTTTTATGACTGTCTAAACCCATTTTCTTTTCTTTCTTCAGCATCAAAGCACATTTTTAAATGTATTGTACCTTTTTAGAGGTGGTTTTTTTTTTTTTTTAAATCTGGACCTGGCATTACTAAGCATCTGCAGCATTTTCTGACTGAGTGAGACAAATCATAAACTGCTATGTCACCACCACACGCACGGTGCTGGCAGTTGGCTCCAGCCTGCAGGCAGCAGCCAGTAGACCCAGCGGTGTATACGAGTGAGCACCAGCCTGCCTGAGAGACTGCAGGACTAGGAAGCCACGTCTGGCTCCTTGTCCAGAACTTTTCTTAGCTTTCTCAGGCCCTGTGTTTGGATATTTGAGCCCCCACATTGGATGCCATATGTAGACAAATCTTTTGGGGGGCCATCAGCTCACGAAAACCAACACGGAGACTTATTAATTGTGAAAGCTTGGCCTATAGCTTAGGCTTGTGCCACTAGCTCTTATAACTTAAATTAACCCATTTCTACTCATACACTTGTTGCCACATGACCTATGGCTTTTACCTGTCCTGCATGTCTTATTTCCTCTGCATCCAACTGGCCATTCCCTTTTTTCTTCCCTGAGACTTCTCTGTCCCCAGAAGTCCTTCCTAACTTCTTCCTGCCTAGCTATTGGCCATTCAGCTCTTTATTAAACCAATCACAGTAACACATCTTCACACAGTGTAAAGGAATATCCCACAACATTTCCCCTTTTTGTCTAAATAAAAAGGAAAGGTTTTAACTCTAACATAATAAAACTATATACAATAAGAACAATTATCGAGTAAGAAATACAATTCACAATGTTCAGTCTCAGCAAATCTCCTCTCAAACCCCTGCATTCTTGGGGCTAGTTAGACTCTAACTGGCTTCTAAACTAACTCTCTAAATTGTAAAGTGCTTAATGAACATTTACCACTTGGAAGCAAACAGCCCAACAGCATTTAGTGTCCCATGGCTTGGCTGCCACCACCCCTACCCCATTCTAAAATGCATCCATCCCACACCTTCAGTAATCACTTGGTGGCCCTAACTTCTGGCCAGCTTTCTCTCCCTGTGGGTTTGTCTGTTGGACATTTCATATAAAGAGACTCACATGCTCCACAGCCTTATGCCCAGCTTCTTTCTCTCAGCATCATCTTGAGATTCTTCTATGTTGTAGCATGTTAGTACTCCTTTCCTTTGGTTTTTTTAATTTTTAAATTTCTGACAAATACATAATTAAGTTTTTTTGTTTGTTTTGTTTTTGTTTTTCGAGATAGGATTTCTCTGTGTAGTTTTGGTG